GAATAAAAACTGGACTACTAGATGATAGTGTACCAGCATACGACGATGATACAGAAGGTGCCGTAGACACTAGAAGAATTGAAGACAATCGCTTTGAAAGTTATTGACATAAAAAACTGAGAAAGATTGTCTTCTGAGTTAATAGATAAAAGAAACTAGAGAAAGAAATACTGTGATCTGAGTTTTCAAAGTAGAATCGACAACATATATTTCACTCGCAGAGAAAGTATTAGTAAGAAACTCACGTGTTACAATTGGCCGACTTGTTGATGGTGTGATCGACATAAGACCGACAGAGGCTGGTCCAATAGCAGAGATTGAGAAACTTCCTGTTTCATAATCTGAATGTGTTGTAACTACGAGAATATATGTTCGTCCGGCTTGGAGATAAACGTCGATATGAAACTGGAACAAAATGTCACCAGAATCATCATCATCGGTAATTAAATTGACCAATGGATTTGACGGATCGAAGGGAGTATCGTAAAAGTAGCCCATAGTATCCATGTCACTGTCGCTTGTGAAAATGTAATCACCAGTTGTGGAAACGGTGACCTGTATTGCCTGAAAATAGTAGTTACCGTCGGTGTCACCGTAAGGTCGATAAAATACTGGACTGGTGGATGATAATGCACTCGCATATGACGATGACACAGAAGATGCCGTAGATACTAGAAGAATCAAAGGCAATCGCTTCGAAAGTGATTGGCATAAGAAAATAAGGAGATTTGTCCTCTTAGTGGGTACATAAAAGAAACTAGTGACAGAAATTCCATGATTCGAGATTTCAAAGCAGAATTGACAACATATATTTTACTCAATGGAAAAGTATGAGTGAGGAACTCACTTGTTGTTATTGGCTGACTCGTAGATGGAGTGATCGATATAAGACCGGCAGAGGCAGGCCCAGTAGCAGAGACTGAGAAACTTCCTGTTTCAGAGTCGTCATGCGTTGTAACCACGAGAATATACGTTCGTCCATTTTGAAGGTAAGCTTGGATAAGAAACTGACGGGAACCGCCACCATCGTCGTTATCAGTGATCAAATTCATCATTGGATTGGATGGATCGAAGGAAGTATCGTAAAAATAGCCTCTAGTGTCGATGGCACTAGTGCTTGTGAAAGTGTACATGCCAGCCATCGATGTAGTAACCTGGATAGCCTGGAAGTAGTAGTAACCATCTGACAAACTATTAGGTCGATAGAATATTGGACTGCTGGACGACAGTGCACCCGCAAAGGATGATGACATTGGCGGTGCAGTAGATACTAGAAGAATAGAACACAATCACTTTGAAAGAGATTAACATAAAACAAGAGAAGAGTTGCCTTCTTAGTGGATATGGAAAAGAAACTAGAGAATGAAGTTTCATGGTTGAAGCTTTCGAATTGAAACAGACAAGGTATTAATGAAAAACTCACATGTTATTATTGGTTGACTTGTTGATGGAGTGATGGACGTAAGACCGACGGAGCCGGGTCCATCAGCGGAGACTGAGAAACTTCCTATTTCAGAGCTGATATGAGTTGTAACCACAAGAATATACGTTTGTCCCATTTGAAGGTAACCTTGGATACGAAACTGGTGGGAGCCGCCACTATCGTCGTCGCTGGTGATCAAATTAATCAATGGATTGGATGGATCGAAGGAAGTTTCGTAAAAATAGCCCCTAGTATCAATATTACTATTGCTTGTCAAATTGTAAGTGCCAGATGTGGATGTGGTGATTTGTATAGCCTGAAAGTAGTAGTCAGCGTCTGTATTGCCAGCGGGTCGATGAAATGTTTGACTACTGGACGATAGTGCGCCCGAGTACACCGACGTAGCACGAAGTGTATTGGAAGCTGTTAAACGAGAGATAGCTATTGTTATAGAATATTACACAATTTTATCAAGAGATCTCTGTTGTTATTCTTTACTGCTTGAGTAAGTGCACCAGAGTCTGAACGGTGATATAAATTTACTTCACTCGAGGCGACATCTCATAGTTGAGAAACATTATAGGTAATGAGCGTGAAAGTATACACTGAGAAAAGTTAACCCACTATTCATCATGCTGCCTCAAAGAATGTAGCAAACAGAGGGTATACTATTGTAGATTTTCGAATCATGATAATATGGATGGTGGAACCATTCTGTTATAGATTTTGTCAAGTACAAACAATAACGAGTGTCGAAATATATTGAAACTGAAGTAAACCTCCATGCTGCTCTGGATAGGTTGATAATGATTGGCGTGACTACCTGTAGAGTCCTGCTTTGGTTCAACTTTTCGAACCCGTACCCGACTCAACAATTTATTTAAAATCCGAGCCTGATTCGACCCGAAAAATAAAATTCATTCGTTGTCAACAATGTATCACCTTATTTCAATGTTTAACATATAAAAGAACACAGAATTTATGAAAATAACAAACGCTCATGAAAACCTGTGCGGATGCATGTGCGCGGTATGAGAAGAGACACATTCACACCTTCTGAACTCATTTATGAACGACGACAACAACAAAAATATTAAAATATGAAAAAGGGGTATTCTTTTTATGGACAAAGAAATTTCGCAGGCATTCTTTCGAAACACGAGTTTCGCAGTACTGACATAAATTTTGGCAATTGCCGAAAGCCCATAGCGAAAGGGAGTGCTGCAATATTATGATAGTTTGTGTATATTGCCGCTACCACAAATCAATAGATTATTATTTCAGTCGACTTTGTATATAACATGGAAAAAAATTGAGAAGAGGAACATATATTATGAAAAAACAGAACCAAATAAAAACCTGACAAATTTTTAAATCAAACTCGAGCTCCAACATACCCACGAGTCGGGCTGTAGAATTCTAACCACTTGTAACGATTTTTACAGGTCCCTATGTGAAGCCCACCGTTTTTCTAGACTTGAAGTATTTTGAGACTGTCCACCACGGATTGTGTTTGTTTCAAGAGATGTTCCGCTTGTCTGTCAGTGTATAGCTCTTCAGGTTGGAGGCAGGGTGAATTTTGACGTGCTATTCTTTGATCTCTGAGACTTCTCGAACAGTGATAGGTCGATTTCTCAGTCCTATTGATAGTGGTTTCATTGTTTGTATCCCCGTAGGGATAACATTGAAAGTTGCTTTTCTTCCAAGGGAAAGTAAACCCCCTCCCAGAATAAAAAGGCATGCCCTCCTATTATGTCCCAATGAATCGGTCTTTTTTGGATGACGTTCTATTATGTCTTATCGGAAATTTTTCACATTTTTGCTTGAAATTGATATGGCGTTGTATTATGTCCAGATAATCAACCGGTCCTGGGTGGCCTTCTATTCCGGGTGCCTTTCTATTATAGGGTGACGTTCAATTCTGGAGGGGGGTTTAACACAATTCGTTTTAGTGTAGGCTATAGGTCTTTCGTTTAGAGATCTTTTACAATCCGTATGGTTCTACTTGATGGGCAATTCACGTGTCCGATCTCTGATCAGATTTCTGCTAAGAGGCTGGCCTTTCTCTGATCTTTTCGACAATTACCCATTCCAGCTGAGAAAATATGAGTGAGTAGCGATTTCGACGACTTCGGATTGCATAAATGCAGGACGGTGATCAGATCAGAGATGTCCAAGAGGTCGTAACAATCAACGTCGTTTTGGCCTGTTATACTAGAATCGGGTCAAGTGTTACGGCTTCATTGGAAACTCTGAAACATATGTGTGCAGCACATTACAGTATCGAGGTCACTGTTGATGTTCTGTACCTCAATAATAACGAGGTAGATCCATCTTTATTTTCTATTATTTTAGTGTTTAAATCTAGTCCTTCAAGTGCATAATCAATATTACAGTTGTAGGTGCAAGGAGAAAACAGCGGACGTCTTTTCTGTGGAGCCTGCTAAAGTCTCTAACTATTTTAACAGAGAACAGCATACTTAGACTAGAAATCTACATTGATATCTATCTGTCATCAGTCTTGATAGAGATTTTATTCGAATTGTAAAAACAGTTTTAAATTACCAGGTGATTGTAAAGTTAAAAGATTTATGAAAAAAGTCTACTGTCTTCTGAAAACTTCTACATGTTTCATTGCTTTTATGAACATTTTTTGAAAATCTCAGTTTTATCATTAATGTACAGGTAAATGGATAATCATGCATGAACAGAGAAAAGAAAAGCAAAAACTCAATTCGAAATGTATTTCCAGTTGAACCGCGATGGCACTAGCCTTTGGAAATTGAAAACATTTAACTTGAGTTCTAGTAAAAAGAAAGTCTCAGTTAGTGAATATATAGCATTAACTATTACTTGATAATAAATAATAATGATTGATAAAGTGTCGATATATTTAGCCTCTTCTGTCTGATCTCACGTCGATATCGATATCGACACTCGCGCTTACACTCCCCGCTCTAGGTCAATGTCAGATGAACGTCTAGGTAAAAGTGCCGTACTTTTTCTACTTACTGGCTTTTCTACTAGAAACTGATCTTGATCGACTGTTAGAGTGAATGTTCACAGCAGTGGGACCAGACGAAACAATTGAGAATTTCCCAGTGACTTCCGGAGTAAATGTTGTGGCAACCAGAATGTATTTGTGTTCAGGATGGAGCAAAGCAGTAATTTTGAACTGCCCTTTGCCATTACTGTCATCATCTTGTGATATCAAGTTCAGAGTAGGATTGTTGGAGTCGAAATTATCGTTGTAGATGTAACCATAAGTATTGATGGAACTTCTACTAATGAACGTGTAAGTGCCCATCGTTGAAGCACTGAATTCCATAACTTGATAGTAATAATATTTTTCCAATTGATTTGGATCACGAGAAAACTTTGGACTCTCCACAGTCCAAGCACCGGAATAAACCGTCTTAACATGGTCTTGAGAAGCTATTATCGGCGACGCAGTCGATTCTAAAATGAGTAGAACATATCGACAATGTTCACTTTTTTTATTCGAAAGTTAGTATTTAAAAACATCGAGAATCGTACTGTTTGCTGAAAATTTGTGAATTTCAACGAAATGGCCTTCATAAAACCAAGGAGGAAAAAGCGGGTCCTGGATCCTTTAGATCCTAATGGATCCTGGTGGATCCTCATAGATCCTGATAAATCCTGGTGGATCCTGATGGATCCTAGAATGGATCCTCATGGATCCTAGAATGGATCCTCATG